CGCCGCCGCCGCCGGTCCCGCTCCTCCGACCGCCGCCGCCGCTGGTGCCCGGGTGAGGAGGAGGCGCCCTCTCTCCATAGGGCGGCGGGGGCCGGGGAGAGGCGCGGGGTGAGGCCGGCTCTGCCCCTGCCCGGGGGATGCGCCTCCGAGGGGAAATGGTGGAAGGGGGGGAAGGGGGAAAAAAGAAAAGAAAAGGAAAGGAAGGGGGAAAGGGGGAGAAAATAAGAAAAAGCGAGACAGAGGCGCTGGCGCGTCCGCTCGCGGGGAAGGCTGGGGAGGGAGGGAGGGGCGAGCAGCGAGCGCCGGCCGCCTAGCCCCGCCCTCGCGGACGGATCTCGGTCGCGCGCGTCTGTAAACAACGCCCGTGTTCTCTCCCCCCCCACCCCTGTTTTTCTCCCCGGGCGCGTGGAAGAGTCGGGACAAAAGCTCAGCCTCCGGGGAAGATCTAGGGGAGGGCGCTGGAACTCCCGTGGAAGGAGGAAGGGCGTTCGGTGTGCACGAAGGAGGAGGAGAGGGGCGCGGACTCCTTTCTCTTGGGCCGGCGGAGGAACCCTTCTCCTTCCGCTCGGTGACGTCAGCGGCTGGGTGAGCCGAGGAGGCGTGCAGTGGCCGGAGAGTGTGCTGCGCATGCGCCTCGGCAAAGAAAGGCGTCCCCGGGCGCTCGCCCCAGGGAAGGGTTTCCGAGAGAGCGCGTCCGCCCAACCTGGAGTCTCCCGGTGTTTTCCAGCCCAGCTTGTCTCTAGAGCTCCTGAGCGAATTTCTTGAACGGGGCTGGTGACCTTTTATGTAAAGATTACATTCTTGATTGACCTCACCGAAAGAAATTATGTTGTCCCCTTCCTATTGACGGGTATGGGCGTGAGGCTTTTTTACTGCCCTGTGGGTGATGGGAGACTCCGAAGCACTTCAGAAATCAGACAAGTTAAGACGATCCTAGCCCTGGTGCTTACGGCCACTTTTTAAAACAGTGCGTTACACTACTGCCGCTTTGGCGGTGCGCCCAGGGAATTCAAGCGACCAACCAACGTGTCTAGTATTTCAGGGTCCGTTTTATCACCAGGTGGGTGCTTAACGAGTGTGAAATGTGTTTTATTAACTTGGAGTCCTTTTGACTCCAGATGGTAAATTTTACTTGTCACATAATGGTCCTAATTATGAACAGGATGCCGTCTTAGCAGATAGCTTTGGGGAAGGTGGAAAAACTGGAACTCAACCGTTTAGGTAGTCAAATACTCATTTTACATCAGGGGGGGAAATACAGACCAGGTTCTTACAAAACTGGCATTAGCTTGAAGACAGAGAAGGCCCCTGCCTGCGAGGAGTTGGCAGTACGAGCACAGTGAATAGCCACTGTGATTTCACGATCTGAAATCACTGTTTCACTGTACAGCCCTGCCCTCCCTGGACTCTAAGGTCCTAGATGGCAGGGATCTTGTTTACTTTGTTTTGTGCCGCATCTCTGCGTGTGAAAGGCTCCCGATGTTTGACTGCTGGCTGAATAAACCAGTACCAGTAGCCGAGGTACCGCGATGGACATTTGCAGGCTGCTATGGAAACACCCCCAGCTGGGCTGGGCTCGGGGAAGGTTTCTTTGAAGAAGTGATTAAGATGAGACTCCAGACCACTGGGCAAAGGAAAGTACCAGCAAAAGAAGCAACCTACGCAAAGGCTCTGAGGCTGACCTTCCTCTGAGAGATGGGGGACGCGCGGGGTGGGGGTGGAGGAAGCTGGGGTTCCACAGCACACAGTGGTGAGTAGGACTCGCTGGAAAGATTTCAAGTAGGATGTGTGTGCCCTGCGTTCCCCCGCCCTGAGTAGTCCTTTTCTGTATTGTTACCTGGTCTTTATTTTATGTGACCAACGTTTTTTTCTGGATAATTTTCTCAAGAGTGCAGTCTCTGCATAATTTTAGTGTAGCACAACTCTATTGTTGGACCATAGAATCGCTTCTGGCTCTCATCCCTGCAGGAATGGCTGGGTAGGAGTCAGTAGTACAGCTGGGCAGTAGTCCACTCTCCTAACCTGTGGAAGGGCTTCGATTCAATCCCTCGTAGCACCGTGTGTGTGTGTGTGTGTGTGTGTGTGTGTGTGTGTGTGTGTGTGTGTGTCTCACAAGTGCCCACACCTCCAGTTCCTGGTGACCTGGCATCCTCTTCTGGACCCCACAGGCACCTACACTACACAGGCACATACCTCCCCCCCCACACATAGCCACATAATTAAAATCTTATTTTAAAAAGAAGATGTATGCAGATGCTCACAGAAGCACTGTTCATAACTGGTAAAAGGTGAAGCAACAGAAACTGGTCCCTCACCCACCTATTGATGACTTGTGTTTCCGCTTGGAGTACTGTGGATTAAATTGCCTCTGGCAATCATGAACTTCAAAAAATAAGTTTATGATTGAGAGTTCTTAAATGCCCCTGGTTACAGTTTAATCGGCTTAATTCTTATGTCAAACAACTTGGCAAAATATTCATCAAAAGCCATAAAAATGCAAATACTGTTGTATGCAAGAATAACCTCAAAGAAGGTTATGTGTAAAAGATACTAGATTTTTTTTTATAAGTAAAGCTTTATTGACATATGAACCATCTATTTAAAGTGTATGGTTCACTAGCTTTGAATGTATTTGGAACACTCATCATCACAATCCAGTTTAGAACATTTTCATCACCTTGAAAATAAACCCAACATGGTCAGGTTTCACCCACCAGTCTCATGGCCGCCCCAGTGTAAAGCAACACGCACAAGTTTCCCTCTAGAGAGATTTATGTATTTGGACCATTCATTGAAAGAGACCTTTTGCAATGGTGTGCCTTCTAGAACCCAGTTTCAGTTGTCTGAAGAAAAATATGGCTACTCTTCGCCATTTTTAAACGTTTTTTTTTTTTTTAACCTTTTATTTTTCAGTTATGTGAACGGGTGTTCTGCCTGCCCGTGGGTCTGGACATCATGTCTGTGTCGGATCCCCTGGGACTGGAGTTGCAGACAGTTGTGAGCTGCCATGTGGGTCCTTTGGAAGGGCAGTCAGTGTTCCTAACCCCTGAGCCATCTCTCTGGCCCCCACCATTCATTTGTTACACTTTGGCTCGGGATCTTTTCTTTTTTTTTTTTTTTTTTTTTTTTTTGGTTTTTCGAGACAGGGTTTCTCTGTGTAGCTTTGCGCCTTTCCTGGAACTCACTTGGTAGCCCAGGCTGGCCTCGAACTCACAGAGATCCGCCTGGCTCTGCCTCCCGAGTGCTGGGATTAAAGGCGTGCGCCACCACTGCCCAAGGGATCTTTTCTTTTTTAACGACTGTATTTTGCAGTGAAGTATGGTTGCACGGTGGAAAGTTATAAATCCTCTGAGAAAATAAGCCTTATAAAGACAGGTGCATTGGTTAGAAATCTGTGGGGTTTTAATATATTCCCAGATAATAGGTTTTATAGTGCCCTTCCACATGGTGTCTGAGACTGTGGCTCACTGTGCGGTGGGCATAGCACTGAGCATATTCATTGTATCCTTTTTTTTTCAGTCCCTAAGTCTGTAGGGTTCCTCGTCGTGTCTGTCTGTCTGTCTGCTGCCCCAGTGCTGCGGAAGGGAAAGCGGTAGCTGGCGAAGGTTGGCCACACACAGAGGTACAGCCGGGACTCAACCAAGCTTGACCCACTCCAAAGCTTGACTATGCTTTCATTTCTGATTTGTCCCTGGGGTATTACTGGCTTCTTTAAATTTTAGAATAAAAACCTATTGTGTTTTTGGCTTTAATCTTAGAACATTTTTTTTTAGCAGTCTAGTTTTTACTTTTGTTTCTAAAGCATTTGCCTTGTTTTGGAGAAGGGGTTATTAAAATTTTAGACTTGCTGGGCATAATGGCGCACATCTTTAATTCCAGCACTCGGGAGGCAGAGGTAGGTGGATCTCTGTGAGTTCAAGTCCAACCTGGTCTACAAAGTGAGTTTCGGGACAGCTAGGGCTACACAGAGAAACCCTGTCTCCAAAAGAAAGAAAAAGAAAACAAACAAGCTTCTAAGGGATAATAACACAATAAGATACAAAAAAAAAAACAAAAAACAAAAAAAACAAACAAAAAAAAAAAACCCTAACATATCGGAACAGGACAGAACAAACCGCAAAGGCACAAGAGATGGATACAGATGCAGAAGCTGACCCGTTCACACACTCAGGAATCCCATAAAAACACCAAACTGCAGGCCATAACATACATACAGAGAGGGGGTAGGGGGAGAGAACATATTTAAATTTAAAAAGATGAAAAGCCCCGACATGACATTATGAGACAAGGAACCTCTAAGCCATTGAGTTCATGTCTGTTGGCCATCTACTTCTGGACACATGACTTACCTTAACAGCAGTTTGTCTCCCCATTGAGATTCTCTAGGGAAAAACTAAGTTTTCATTTGCAAGTGGTTGTCAATTGGAGACAGCGTCTGGATGAGGGATGGGGCAGGTGTCCACTTCTCCTTTCAGCTCTAGGACCCCATCTGGTGCAGGCGGTGCATGCTGCCTCAGACTCAGGGATCTCATATATGCATTGATCCTGTTGATTTAGAGAGCCTTGTTTCCTTGGTGTCCTCCATCTGCTCTGGCTCGTACGTTATTTCTACCTCCTCTTCTGTAGGATTCCCTGAGCCCTTGGGGGGGTGAGATTCGATGGAGACATCGATTTCAGGCAGGGCGGAGGGTTCCAAGGTCCCTCCCTCACTCTCTGCACATTGTCCAGCTGTGGGTCCCTGCATTTGTTCCCACCTGCGGCAAGAGGAAGCTTCTCTGATGACGGCTGAGCAAGGCACTGATCTATGAGGATAGTGGTTTGGCATTAGGAGTCACTTTACTGTTACATGCTTTTAGTAAAACAGTGGTAATTGGTTTTACCCTAAGTCCTGGGCCATCTAGTCTCAGGTTCTTGGTCCCCCAGGCAGCATCATGTTCCATCATGGTTCCATCATGTGGAGTGGGTCTCAGGTCAGGTCAGACGTTGGTTGGCTGCTCCCACAGACTCTGTGCCACCATTGGCCTAGCATAGCTTCCCGGTTGGACAGCATTGTAGACCGAAGGGTTAATAGCTGGGTTAGTGTTGGCGTTTCTCCTTTGGTAACGTGCGGAGTACCTTCCTGCACCAAAGATGCTAGCCCCTGGGCTGTAGGCTCTGTGTAGGCACCAGCCAACTTCTCCGTGTTCAGTGAGTTGTGTGGGTGTTGTCTCCAGCAGTAGGACCCGCCATCAGTTTGTGGAGAGCACCCTAGAGTCTTGGCAACAGTCTCGGCTATCTGGGGTTCCCATGGGACCCCTTTGGCCAACAACTCAATTAGATGTAACCCATTCCTGGTACTGGAAGCTTCATTTGGTGACAAGTGACGTCTAAATGGCACTGTCTCCCTCATTATTTGACAATTTCATTCAGATCACCTTCATATATGCATGGATTGTAGGAAGAGTCTACTGTATTGTTTCCATCCTATCCCTCAAATGCCCTTAATTTTAGCTGTCTCTCCCCATATTCCCTCCCCTGTCACCCTCTTCTTTCCTGCATGTCATTCCAGTCCCCCCCATCTGTTCTATTTCCATTTACTGGGGAGCTCTATCTGTGCCCCCTGTCCCATCCTTTACTCTGTATCTAACTAACCTCAGATTGTACCTTTGTTTTCATTGACTTCATGGCTAATATCCACATATAATTGAATCCATACCATATTTGTCTTTCTGGATCTGACTTACCTCACTCAGGATGATTTTTTTTTCCCTAATGCCATCCATTTATCCGTGAATTTCATTTTTTAACAGCTGAGTAATTAATGTTCTATTGTGTAAATGCACCACATTTTCTTTGTCAATTTTTCTGTGGAGAGACATCCACGTTGTTTCCAATTTCTGGCTGTTATGAATAGAGCAGCAGTGAGCATGGCTGAGCAAGTGTCTCTGTGGTAGGATGGCATATCCTTCGGGTATATGGCCAAGAGTGTTATAGCTGGATCTTGAGGTAAATTGATTCCCATCTTCTTGAGGAACTATCATGCTGGTTTCCATAATGCAAGCCTATTGATCTTGAATGGCTGGAATTGCCTGTCTCCTTTGTCTTAACTGAGCTTTTCAGATGAAGTTTTCATGAGACAGTTTATGAAGACACTGTCTTGTCGGAGAAAGAGTAAGTGAGAACCAAAGAAATCATGTCTACCATTGCAATCACTTATCTCTAGGATCTACCTGCTGTTTTCACCCATCTCTCCAGAGACAGAATGTCTGAGTAAACTTCCCAGACCAACTACTATGACGTCAGGAGAGAGGAAGCACCAATTTAATGAATAACATGAAGAACTCTTAACGCATGTTGAAATGGGAGGAAGGGTTCAGAGGAGCATGTCAAAATCCAACAGCTAGGGAAGAGGTGAAATGAAACAGAGCGACAGTGCCGTAAGGGGGCTGGAGAGATGGCTCGGTGGTTGAGCCCCAGCACGGAGAGCTGGGTTTGGTTCTCAGTGCGGTTAGCTGTAACTCCAGTTCCAGGAGCTCTGGTGTCCTCTTCTGACCTTCGCAGACACAGAAAACCGAGGCAGGATGATCATAAGTTCAAGGTCTGCCTGGCAACTTAGTGACCCTATTTCAAAGTAAGTATAAAAAGCCTCTGGAGGTGTAGGTCAGGGTAGAGCACCTGCCTAGCATGTGGGAGGCCAACATCTAATCTCAGCATTGAAATCTTATTTATATTAATAACCACTTGCATTTTGAAGGAAAAATTACACACACACACACACACACACACACACACACACACACACACACACATTCCCAAATCCCTTCCTCTAAAGTATATGGTAATGTCTGTTGCAGAATCTGAATTGCTTTCTGAATGCTTGAAGATAATGTTGGATATTGAGGAGAAAAAGTAACATCAGAGGTAGGCAGTGAGAGGACTCAATTTTTATGCAAGAGAAACTCTCCTCTTCCTCAAATATCAAATATTCTCTACCATGCCTCTTGGAGATGGCCCCTGATCCATTTTTATTGGTCCACTGAAGCTTGGCCTCTGAAACTCAGGAAGTTGCAGCATACATAGATAATGAATGTTAAAAGACTGATTTGGATGCCAAGTCATTATTTTCCTCCCAGAGGACCACTGAATAGATTTAGAGCAGACTGCATTTGACAGCTACTCCCACATTCCTTATACACCATAGTCCTCAAACTACAAGGTAGTAACTAAGATTACAGAAACTGGATCCTATCTGTATGGGAAAAAATTATGTTAGTATTCTTTAAAGTTGTTTTCAGATTGTGTGCGTGCGTGTGCGCGCCATGTATGTGGGTACTCAAGAGGCCAGAAGAGCTCATTGGCTCCCTGGAGCTGAAGTTAGAGAGCCACCTGATGTGGGTGCCAGGAACCAAACGTGGGTCCTCTAGAAGAACCAGAAGTGTCTTTAACCCCGAGACAGTTCTCCAGCCCCCAGTATTACTTTTTCAAAGGCTGTATTGATTTCTTTGAGATGCACTTGTATATATCATCTATTTGAGAGCCTCATACATGTTTTAATCCCACCTACCCCCATAGTCCCTCCCCTCCAGTTCCTCTGATCCCCACCACCAGGTCTTTCCTCCAACTTCATATACTTTTTAATTGCCGAGTAGAGTGGGTGCTGGGGGTATGTGCATCTGCGTGAGGCCGTTCCCTGCAGTGCGGACAACCTTCCTGAAGAAAACTGACACACCCCGCCCCCAGCAGCCAGCAGCGGCTAACTGCCGTCAGCTGGGGGGCTGAGAGCTTTGTGAGCTCCTCCCCGAGGCCATGTTGGAATCTTGACTGTCTTGATCTTTCTTAGGTGTTATGCAGGCAGACACAGCTGCTGGGAGTTCATGTATTCAGGGGGGCCTGTCCTGTCGGGAAAACTGTTTCCTCCGCAACTTCCGGCCCTTCAGAGCACACTGGACTTTGATGATCTGCTATTTGCTTTTTTCCTCTCAAGCTTCCTTCCTGAGCAGGACCCGCAGAGAACCTGCAGGGAGGGACGAGTTCCCAGAATGAGGCACCCTTGCCAGAACAACTGTGTCATTCTGTGCTGTGTGTGCCAGCAAGTTAATGAAATGATGCCTTTTCAGTACAGTCCCTGTGTCTGACTTCCAAGATTGGGCATCTTTTCTCAAAGTGCAATTTAAGTGCCTTTCAGTTTCAAGACCCAGAGTACAAAGGAGTTCCCAAGCCATTTCTTCATTAAACACAGGACGGACCGTGCGCTTCAGGTTCGTGCCGCCGTCTGTTGGTTTCACAAAGCGAATTTTCTGGTAAAAGCTGGTGCTGTTTAACCCTATGTGATTCAATAAACGAATATCCAAATAGTTATTGAACATCAGCCATGAATGAGATCATGGCATGAATTAAATGTCGGGTAACACCACAAACACTCATACGTTTATTGGTAAATGCACATTGATTGTATTTTTTGTTTTGTTTTTTCGAGACAGGGTTTCTCTGTGTAGTTTTGGTGCCTGTCCTGGAACTTACTCTGTAGACCAGGCTGGCCTTGAACTCACAGAGATCCTCCTGGCTCTGCCTCCCAAGTGCTGGGGTCAATGGTGTGCACCACCACTGCTCGGCTTGATTGTATTTTTAAGGGAAAGTTGTGAAGTACTGAAAATATTTTGTGTAACAAAATTAGAAACCTCTTTATCTTGAATGAAGTTACCCATGAAGTCTACTGTGGTTTCAATGAGACTCATATATTTGCAGGCTTAGTCCTCAGTTGATGAACTGTTAAGGTTTCAAACTCTCTCTCTCTCTCTCTCTCTCTCTCTCTCTCTCTCTCTCTCTCTCTCTCTCTCTCTCGCTTCCTCCCTCCCGCTCTAGTGCACTCTCTCTCTCACTCTCTCTGCCTGCTGTCTGGGGATCAGGATGCAGTTCTCAGCTCCTTCTTCAGCAGCACCATGCCTGCCTGCACGCCACCCTGCTCCCTGCCATGATGACAGCGGACTAACCCTCTGCACCTGTAAGCAGCCCCCAGTTAAAAGCTGTCTCTTTTTAAGGGTTGCCCTAGTCATGGCGTCTCTTCACAGCAATAGAACAGTGATAAGTAAAGACATGGAACATTTAATTCATAATCTTTCATAATAATTAAAAAAAAATCTTTTTCGATGTCAAATTGGTTTGTGCTCAATATTCTCCAGAATTTAACCAGATCAGAAAAGGAAGAAAATGCCCCCAAACTCATAGGCCAACTGACCATTATGCAGTGGTCCGGTGTGAAATATTGCTGGCCAGAGTAGAATCATACATTCCCACAATTTTCTAGTAGCACAGTGTTGACTGAATGTGTTTCTCTCAAATTCATATGCTAAAGGCAGATCCCCAAAGCAATGATATTTGGAAGTGTGGCCTTTGAAAAGTAACTTTGTCAGGAGAGTGGGCCCATCATGAGTGAAACCAGTACCTTATAAGAAGAACATGGAAAAGATGTTACCCTCAGCCTTTTGAGGACCCCACCAAAAGGCGCTGGCTGTGAGCCAGGAACAGTGTCTAGCTGGCACCTAGATCTCAGATTTTCCGATCCCTACAAACTAGATCTTCAGCTTCTAAGTTTTAATAGATTTTGTTTCTGAACCCCTTTCCCAATGATTTCTGGCAAAGAAAAAGTCAAAATACAATCACCACTACGAAACTGCTTCTTGTCAACTATCTTGTGTATCTCCTCCAGTCTCTCCTTTCATTGAACTCAAACTCATTCCTCTCTCCACACCAAGTTTCTACTTCCCCGAGTATTCTTAAGCACATTCCATCCCCCCCCCCCCCAGACAGGGTTTCTCTGTGTAGTCCTGGCTGTCCTGGAATGCTCTGTAGACCAGGCTGGCCTCAAACTCACAGAGATCCAGTGCTGAGATCAAAGGCATGTGCCCCCACAGCCCGGCTGCACGTTCCTTTTTTAAAGATCTCACTTAAGCTAGTGGGCTCTACCTCTTAGGACTTTTGTTTACCACCTACCCCTGGTCTAAGTTCACTGTACAGTAGTGAATCTATCATCTCCCTAATCTGCACTCTTCTCATAAATTTCTGTTAGGTTCCAAATACATGTGGAGAGAACCTTCTCTGTCCTGCTGGTCAGGGTTCATTGGGTGTTATTTAGGGTACTTACTAAGTTATGATCAAAAAAGACAAATACAAAGACCTCCAAAGGGTGGCTCAGTAACAGAGGATGGAGTTCCTTCACCTTGTTCTTTTGTCATCCTGAGGGAGCTGGCTTCATTTTTATGCTCCGAGATGGCTCTTCCGGCACATCCTCAGTCCAGCTCACTCGGAGAGAAAAGCGTGAGTGACGCACCTGGTAGAGAAGTTGCATACACCATCGCTCTTCTGTGGACCTTCTGTTGACTGTGCTGTCCAGCTAGACTTGAATTCCTCTTGATTAGTGGTGCAGAGCTATGAGAGGACATTAGCAAATTCCACCACCTGCTAATATACTGCGTATCTCTTAGAAGTGGACTTTCCAAAGCGGCAGCCGGCAGTTGGTGCTCTGGCCAGCACAGCGCCTCCACCCTAGCTCCTTT